GTTACAATCCACCCCCCTTAGGGGCCCGACATCCTCGTCGGCACACACGTGGCCAGGGTTAGGCTCTAATACCAATTTTCACATCCCGGCCCGGGGCGGACCACTTCCCGGGCCCGCTCCACCACCGTAGCACGATATTGTCCGCTTTGGGCCCCGACCACGCCCTCACGGTTTTGTTTCTGGGAGCTCACGAGCAACTTCCCAGTGGATCACCCATCTTGGGAGTGCTCTGGCCCCCCTCTCACTTAACTTCGAAGTTCCGATGGAACCTGAAGCCAGTGAGCTCCCAAAAGGCCTCGTGCTAGGTAGGGATGAGAATATACATTTAAGGATCACTTCCCTGGACGATGTGGGATGTTACAAACCATGTCATAGCATAGTCAAATATAGACATATATATAAATACATACATATATATATATATAACATGGCGAAACATGCATAATCTGTAACGTCCCACTCCCGAACTATTTGCTTCGGGAATAATTATCGGGGACAAGTCCAACTAAACACTAGTCTAATTAACTATCAATACTTACGATTCTTTATTTTAATTTCTTGACTCTTCACACATTGATTTATAACCAACATTCAACCACCAAAAAATAAGGTTAAAACTCATAATTTACACCAATGTTCCTTACATTGCTCAATTCTCCAAACAAGGCTATTGTCTCAATTATTTAATCTCATTTATTGTTAGATTGCCTACGTACCCTAAATAGGGAATAAGCCATTCGTAGTTCGCAAAAATCCTCCACATCATTCACAAAAAATTATATGAAATATTCAATTTATAAACGTTTGTGGAGTTGTCAATCTTACACACACACACACAGACACACACACACACATAGGAGAGAAAAGACCTACTCACCTTAGGTCCGTACTACGACTTCCTCGAACGAATATCAAGATATCATGAACCAACGTCACCTAGAACAATTATCAAATCACGTCTCAAGGTCCTTACCGATAGAATACATAATTTACATAAAACACATCCCTACGTAATTCACTTCGGGAGATCTGCATCTCGGATTTCTGATCCGAAACTTCTAAAGATCCACATTACACTTCTAAAACACCATACTAAAGTTTCATTACGATCCAACGGTTGGATCTCTGCCAATTACCAATTCAAGTGGCAGTCAACATTTTATTTTACGAACTTCCAAATCTAATTCAAGAAGATCCGTAAATCAGATTCCCAATCCGTAAGCTTCTATGGTACTCAAATATTATGTACTATAATTTATTAAAGTTTGGTGACGATCCAACGGTTGGATCGTCGATTACTATTCTAATCGAGTGGTGGACCTTAATGGAACTTCGCCGGATTCTGCAGATTTTGCAGATTTCCGGGCAATCTTTGGAACTCCATATCTCACTTGTTTCTCAACCAAATTCAACCCATAATATACCAAATCGAAGCTAGAGAAATGGAGAACAAAATTATACCAGCTTGGAGTCCAAATGGTGGTCGGAGGTGTCCAAAAAATGGTCTGAAAGAAGGCTGTCCGCGGGAAAACTGGTAATTCGCCGGAATTTCTGGGCAACATTTCAACGTCCATAACTTTGTCAATACTCAACGAAATCAAATGATTCAAAAGCAAAAATCATAGTTTTCGACGAGATGAAGAGATTAGTACCTTACACGATGGATAATTCGCCTTGGTTTGGCCGGAAAATGCCTCGAAAGTGGTAGAGGTCGCCGGAAACTGGGCAAACTTTAAATCGTTATAACTTTCTCATTTCTCCACCAAATCACACAATCCAAACATGAAAATTCATCTACACAACATGAGGAATCGGTTTATACCTATGACCAAGGCCAAATAGGCTGGGAAGAGCTTCAATTTCGTTAAAACCCGTCGGAAACCCTATACTTGGGTGAACTTCGATTCTTCTTCCTCGGTGCTCCATAGAGGTCAAGGTTGGTCAAGATTTTCTCCTGGGATGATGGGCTACAAAGCCCAAGTGGTGGTGTCGGCCATTGCTTTGCCAATTCGCCGGAAAAATGAAAAGGGTGGCCGGAACACCATTGGTTTTCATCGGGTTTTGTGGCCTCGAACCGCTACGTACAGAGGTTAACCAAGGTGGTTCTTGGGTGGGTTTTGTAGAGGGAAATGATAGCTTCAAGATGGTGGTGGTGGCTTCGAAAACTCCACCGGAGTTGGCCGGAATTGGCCTTAGAAAATGGGTGGTCGTGAGTGGAAAAACACCACGGGAAAGCTCCAGCTTTCCCTTTTTTTTTTTTCTTTTTCTTTTCTGATTGGCTGGAGGCTTTGTCCTCCTTTTATGTGATTGGTTCCCTTTTCTCTTTGCTTAAAGGCTGATTGGTTAGTCTTCCCACAAGGTGGGAGTTCAAATAATTTAACTCCTTTAAATAACCAACTTCAAACGTCCGTAACTATACCGTTATAGTTCGGACTCGCAAACGGCTTTCACCTATGTGTTCGTAGTGACGAGTACTACGAGGATATGCTTAAAGAATAAGTCATACGATGCTCTAACCGATGATCAACGAAAGTCAAAGTCCTTGCCTCTAGGGCATTTTCATAAATTCACGCTTCTAAAATTAATAAAAATGTAAAATTTGGGACCGGCTGTCACATAAGGAGTGTAGCTGTTAAAAATCATCAAAATTAGAGTTAAAATAACCGTTAAATCGTGATTTTTAGTTTAGCGCCGTCGAAAAGGTATGTTCCGTTACTTGATATTTGAATGTTTGTTTTTTGCGATTTTTGGCGTATGCGAACTCGAAGCATATACAAACAAGTTTGACGGTTGGATCATTGAAACTAGTTTCGTACAATGCGGTATCCATCAAAACAATAGATTCACTAACACTTGGAGTTTATTTATACTTCATTAAGTATAACATAAGATTTTGTGATATCCACTGGTGTAAATATTTTAAATTGACGATCAAATTAATTCATTGTATTCATATAGGGTCAAGGGGTGTAGCTCTAAAAAATCATCAAAATCGGAGTTAAAACTACCGTTAAATCGTGCTTTTTGTTTATAACCGTCGAAAAGTTTTGTCCCGTTACTTGATCTCTGAATGTTTTTTTTTATTTTTTGCGATTTTTGACGTACGCGATCTCGAAGCATATGAAAACAAGTTTAACGGTTGGATCGTTGAAACTAGTTTCGTACAATGCGTTTCCCATCGAAATGATAAATTCACTAACACTTAGAGTTTATTTATACTTTCATTAAGTATAACAGAAGATTTGTGGTATCCACTTTTGTAAACATTTTAAATTGACGATCGAATCCATTCCTTGTATTCATATAGGATCCAGAAGTGTAGCTGTAAAAAATCATCAAAATCAGAGTTAAAATAACCGTTAAATCATGATTTTTTTCGTTTATAACCGTTGAAAAGGTTTGTCATGTTACTTGATCTCTGAATGTTTGTTTTTTGCGATTTTTGGCGCATGCAATCTCGACGCATATACAAACAAGTTTGATGGTTGGATCGTTGAAACTAATTTTGTACAATGCATATCTCATTAAAACGTTAGATTCCCTAACACTTAGATTTTATTTATACTTTCATCAAGTATAACAGAAGATTTTGTGGTATCCACTTGTGTAAATATTTTAAATTGACGATCGAATCAGTTCCTTGTATTCATATAGGATCCAGGAGTGTAGCTGTAAAAAAATCATCAAAATCGGAGTTAAAATAACCGTTAAATCGTGATTTTTTCGTTTATAACCGTCGAAAATTTTGTCCCTTTACTTGGTCTTTGAAGGTTTGTTTTTTGCGATTTTTGGCATATGCGATCTCGATGCATATACAAACAAGTTTGACGGTTGGATTGTTGAAACTAGTTTGTACAATGCGTATCTCATTAAAACGTTAGATTCCCTAACACTTAGATTTTATTTATACTTTCATCAAGCATAACAAAAGATTTTGTGATATCCACTTGTGTAAATATTTTAAATTGACGATCGAATTAGTTCCTTGTATTCATATAGGATCCAGGAGTGTATCTGTAAAAAATCATCAAAATCGGAGTTAAAATAACCGTTAAATCGTGATTTTTTCGTTTATAACCGTCGAAAAGTTTTGTCCCGTTACTTAATCTATGAAGGTTTGTTTTTTGCAATTTTTGGAGTATCCGATCTCCACACATATACAAACAAGTTTGACGGTTGGATCATTGAAACTAGTTTCGTGCAATGCGTATCCCATCAAAACAATAAATTCACTAACACTTGAGTTAATTTATACTTTCATTAAGTATAACATAAGATTTTGTGGTATCCACTTGTGTAAATGTTTTAAATTGACAATCAAATTAGTTCATTGTATTCGTATAAGGTCAAGGAGTGTAGCTGTAAAAAATCATCAAAATCGGAGTTAAAACTACCGTTAAATCGTGATTTTTCGTTTATATCCGTCGAAAATGTTTGTCTCGTTACTTGATCTCTGAATGTCTTTTTTTTTGCGATTTTTGGCATATGCGATCTTGAAGCATAAACAAACAAGTTTGACGGTTGGATCGTTGAAATTAGTTTCGTACAATGCGTATCCCATCGATTTCAATCGTATATATATTTATTAAGTAGATTTAATTTTATTTGTTTTGTACGTATAACACTAAAGAAATTTAATGGTATGTATATTTATTAAGTAGCTTTAAATTTATTATTGTAGTTCAGGTCGGATTTTTGTTTGAAAAATATATTATTGTGGTTTTTATTTTTTAAAATTTGAATTTGAAAGGAGTAAAAATTACATTTTCAGTATATTTCATAATAAAATTTTTTTTAAATGCTTTGCACGACGCCACAATATGGTTGTTGCCCAAAACCACTTTGCGTGACGTCAAAATGTATACCTAGGTCGCGCCATGTAAAAAATAGGCGCTTTTTTTAAATTTTCGCAGCAAACCGTGCAATTGAAAAACTGTTTGTCTTCTCTCTCTCACTCGGTCTCTCTCTTCTTCCCGTAGCTTCCTCCTCATCCATCCTCCTCATCCTTCCTCCCCATCGCTCATTTCAGCCGGTCCTCATCCTTCTCATCCTTCCCTCTTGCTTATCGCTTCTTTCCATCGCTCATCTCAGCCATTCCCGACTGCAAACCGTGCCATAGATTCATCTCAGAATCAGGTATCTATCTTTTCTTAATTCTTAATTTTTCTTCTTTCTAAGGTCAGAATCAAGCTTTAATGCCTTAAGTTTAAGATTTTGGTATTGTAATTAGATTCAATTTGGAAAGTTAAATTAGAAATTGGGGGTTTTAGTGTTAAATCGAATTTTAGGGTTAGAATTCAATATTGGCGAAGTCCTTCAACAGTATTGGTGGATTCTTCACCCTCTGCAACCAGCCATAGATCTCACTCTGCAACCAGCTAAGTTTTTGTAAGTTGATTGCAATTTTTTCTTCGTTCCCTTGTATTGGTAAGGTTCTTCAGTGTTGTCTTCGACATGTTGTTTTCATCTGCATCACTTAGTTATATGTGCCGGTGTTCTGTTCAACTTAATTTCTTGGGGTTGTGGTTGTGGATATATTGGAGAAAATGGTGTGTGAAATAAAGTACTTGTTTCTGATATTAGGATGCATGGAAGGAAACAATTCCAATATTCTAATTTACACATTGAGATCTTATAATTTATTGTTTGAAGGTTGATGTAAAAAGTGTTTATTTTTTCAATGACTATTTATTTTTCGAATTGGATGGTTCAGGTGAATTTAGTTTAGGATGATGAACAATAGCATAACAGGATTGGGACTTTCGTTTTGATGGAGAAAACATAGAAAGTGGGAAGGGAAAAAGTTATTTGTGAGATGTATTGAGCAACGTAGTCTTGTTCTGATCACAGCAATTTTTTTCTTCTTTCTTATGTTAATTTGTTACTGAGTTTGATATTTGAAATTCATCTGATTTGCAGTACATACATGGTCTAGCTGCTCGAGGAGTTCATTATATACATCGGGTTGGACAGAGCCTACATCAGTGAGACCTTTTTCACCTTCATCTTCTTATCTTTTGTATTGATAAGGTTCTTCTGTGTTGTCTTCGACATATTGTTTTCATCTGCATCACTTATCAGTAAGTGGTGATAATTTCCTTTTTGTCTACACCGTTTCATATTTTTAAATATTATTTGTTTTTTTTATTTGTTACTTTAATTGAATTGAGATTTGGCTTCATGCTGGTATAAACTATATTGTTGTTATTGTGGTTTAATCTTATCCAAAATTGTCCGATTTGGTTAGATAAAAATCTTCTGAGCATGCAAAAGCACCCCTTTCTGATCTATAACCCATAGCCTTTTTTTTAATATTGTTCTGGGGTTCCTAATACAGAAAGCACCCCTGATTTATTTTTATCTTGGGTGACATTTTTTATTTGATTCTTGAGTCTTGACATACATACACAAATTCCTTTGTTGTTAATATTTGACATGAGCACATTGGGTTTGGTTGTTGAGTTCATATTTTCTCAGATGTTTCACTCCCATCAATGAATTATAGTTTATCATGTGTACTTTGGGTTTTGGCTGTTAATGTTTGACATGAGTACTCTGGGTTTTGTTGGCTGAAATGTTCTTTAAAATCATAATTATGACTTTGGTATCGAGCCTTGACCCATTTGCTGCTAGCTAAAATATTTGATTAACCAAAATGAAGTTACCATCTTATCATCTTATTTTCAAGTGCCTCTACTGTTGTAGTTGTAAACTCAAAATTATGGTGATATTGGATTGCTAATTGGATCTGACGATAATATTAAAGTATGAAATGGCTAATTGGAGATGATGATGATTCAAAGTCTAAAGGATCACAAAACTGACCAACATCGTCTTGTCTGATGTTTGCTACATACACCCATCAACAAGAAAGCACATAAGATAATGAGTACAAAATAGCTCATTACTGTATCCAGATTGGCAAATTCTAGGCAGAAACAGGATGGTCCATCTTGTTTGGGGTTTGTGGAGTGTTCTGAATAGATTTTAAACACTTGGGATTCTTTACAATATGAGTTTCTTTATTTGTGGATGGTCCATCTTAACTATTACTATAGTAGTATTTTAGCCGAGTATATATTTTGCATAGTTTATTAACCCTCCAAATCAGGAAAGTAAAGGCAAGTAAAGGCCAAAAGGAGAGGATGAAGGTTTTCAGATCCTAAATGAAGTCCTGGATCAGAAGTTTGGTCGTTGTCATGGCAATGTTGTTCGGTGTAGAGGGAAGGCGCGGGTTCATGAGATGGGTGCCTCCTCTTCCAGATCGACCACATGAGAGGTCAATGCCCTAAAAGAGGAAGTGACAACCTTAAAAGGTCAGCTTGTGGCCCAGGACGAGCAAATGAGGGTTATTGTACGGGCCTTACAGATGTCCGGCCTCCAAATCATGATGCCAGCACCTCATCTTGCTCCACCTTCGACCTCCCAACCATTTCACCCAGCCGATAACCAGTAGCCTGAAGACTACTTGTTGTAGTTTTCTTTTTTGTTCGGACATCTTGTATGTACATTTTCATATCTTTTATAATTAAATACTTTTTTCTTGGTTTATTAATTATTGTTTAGAATTTAATTACAATATTTATTAAAAATTAAATTTTTTTTTTTTTTGCCAAAAAAAAGGGTTTGCACGACGAAGAAGTATCCTACGTCGCGCAAAGCAGGTTTGTGCGACGCAGGTCCTACGTCTCGCAAAACTACTTTGCGCGACGTAGATTACTTCTACGTCGCGCAAACCCTACTGTCATTACCTTGGCGCGACAGTTGGCGCGCGACGAAGGTTCGTTGCGCTAATTTTTGCGTGACATTTTTTGGATTTTGTGTGACGAATGACCTGTGTCGCGCAAAGTGTTTTTCCTACTAGTGGTAAAATGTTTGCTGAGCCACTCCCAATCCTTCGGCTATTCCTGCAACTCGATTGGAACATGTAGGCGAGCAATCTCCCAATCATCCCACCGCTTAAAATACGTGTGAAAACTATTCTTCAAATGTTTGTACCGGGTTGCTAAAGACTCCTCTAAGTAGGCCATGGCCTCATGGGATATATCCTGAAGATCATAAATGACCTACGAATATGAAAAACAATAAAATAATAGTAAGAAATTTAATAATATTAAGATAATATATTTTGGTTTTTAATATTTGTAAACAAAATTTAAAAAAAATGATCAAGGGTAAAAGTTAATATACTAACCGACAACTTGTCTCGCACCAGTTTCTTCGTCTCCTCGGGAATTTCTGCCCAAGATTGCTACTGAAAAGGACAATTTTGTCAAATAACAACACCACAGCTACTAACGACGCTGCTATGCTGCTGTGAGGTAGCCGCTCCACGATGTCGCGGGTCATACGCAATCTTGATCTTGGAGGCAGCCTGACGTATGCTCTGTGCCTACTTCAGGATTCGACTAGGCCCCTGGTGTTTTTTTTAGCTGGCCAAAAATACTTAAATGGTGAAAACCCTAAGCTTAAATTTGTACAAAAAATTCGACACAACCTCCCCTAATAGTATAGCATTTCCCAAAACCTTAAAACAGTAATTCATAACCCGCAACATATTTTCATAATCCAGCAAATTTTCACCATCATAAAAATAATAGTTTTAAAATGAAAAAAAAAATACAATGTAGTGAGAATTAGAAAAAAAAAACTACTTGGTTGGGAAACCTCATCCTTGACTCTAGATGCCAAGGAAGTGTGATCAGAAGGCTCCGTCTCGCGGCGGCGCCGGTGAGGCCGCCGTACACTGAGCGGCTGAACCGACACTGATGACGTCGATGAGACAAGCACCTAGGACGCCATAGGAGTAGCCTCAGTAAGGGGTGTAGGCTCCCCAATCAATGGAGCACTCACGCCTGGAGCAGTAGATGCTGATAATGCGGGAGGCACATTGGTCACACTCCGACGATGAGTGATCAACTGCAACATCTATACACTTTTTGAACCATAAAAATATAACATTAGAAACTAATCCTTTCTTGCATTTGAAACTAGAAGAAAAAAGCAAAGAAAACTGAACAAATAAACCATGTGTGAAAAAAGCAAAGAAAACTGAATAAACATTAACCGAAGGTTAAAAAGTGTATTGAATCCAAGGCAGCTTGATTGATTAAAAAGAGTCAAACCTAAACCAAGAGACCTATCCGAATCTGTCAAACCCCCAACCCAACTTTCTATTTGTTAGTCTGTATGTACATTTTTTGTGTGTGTGCATGTGTATACGATGTTCAAATCAGATACGGTGACCTAAAATTGTAGTTGTATAATACAAAGTAGTGTGACGCATGTTAAATTTTAACCAAAATTCGTAAATAAATGCACACATAGATGCTTAAAAAAAGATGGTTGAATTAACTGGTAAAGGAATGTAACATTCTAATTCAGTCCATGTTGAAAACAAATGAAAATGTAATTCTTATTTTGGCCAATCTGCTCTGTAACACTGTAAAAAAATGGGCAAATAAGGTCTAGTTTATAGTCCATGTTGAAAACAAATGAAAATGTAATTCTTATTTTGGCCAATCCGCTCTGTAACACTGTAAAAAAAAAGGGCAAATAAGGTCTAGTTTACAGAGCTATTTATCACAAATATTATTAGTTTATCATAATCAATGAACTCCCATTTCAATATGCTAGTTTGCTGGTCTGTTACTCTCCCTTTCACATTGTACCTAAATGACCCCATACTGTGTGCTCTATCTTTCTCTCTCTCACCTTGTTTCATACAGTTAGCAGGGACATCAAATTCTAGATTATCTGCAAAAGATTACAATGATCATATGACTCTTGTTCGTGCATATGAAGGATGGAAATATGCTGAAAGAAAACAAACAGAAACCAACACGGCAAAGAAAATTGATCCTTTCTTGCATTTGAAACTAGAAGAAAAAAGCAAAGAAAACTGAACAAATAAACCATGGTTGCACGGGTCAGCTGCAAAATCAGGGTACATCCGATCGAATTCTTTACATGCCTCTCCATCTGCAGGATGCCTCATAACATCGTCATTTACCCGTCCTTCTTTATGTCATCTCATGTTGGTTTCAGTATGCATCGACATGTACAATCGTTGCAACCTAGGCTTCAATGGAAGATAACGCATTACTTTTTGTGGAATCTTGGTCTTTCTATTCTGTGATGTCATTTTAAACCTCAACTCATTGCAGACAGGGCATTTATCCAACTGTTTGTTCTCCTTATAGAACAATATACAATTATTTACACATGCGTGAATTTTTTCATACCCCAATGCGAGACCCTTCAACACTTTTTTGGGCACTTTTATGATCTTCAAGTAAACAATTCTCCTTTAGAAGCATCCTCTTAATAACTCCCAAAAAGTAATCTAAACACTTGTTTGACAAATGAAACTTCATCTTACCATACATCAACTCCACAATTGCTGTGAGCACCGAAAAGTTCTTGTAACCCGGATATAATTCTTGCTTGGCATTTTTCAATAGTTTTTCATAGTTTTTAAATGCCTTATTTCCATGGTTGGACGGCAGTCATCTCCCTCTTCCTGATTGGTGTTGCTCGAGGCGTATGGATAAACGTCATTTAGAATATTCATAACTTGTTCACTAGGATCCACATTAGATTCAACAGTCTCCACTCGTGTCACGTATGAAGACGAAGTTTAGTCTAATCGTTCTCCATGATGATACCAAGTAGTATAGATCTCCATCATCCCATTTCTTACTAAATGAAATCGAACATTTTCGAATGTCTCCCACATTGAGTTGTTACACCTCCTACATGGACATCAGATATGAGTTGAACCTAGGTTGTGTCTAGTTGCGAATTCAATGAACTCATCTATTCCATCCAAGTACACAACAACACATCTATTATGACTATGTATCCACTGTCTGTCCATTTTGTCTGCAATCCCAATAAAAGTACAAGAATTACAACAACTTCAACTATTGTCTTGTCACCTTATTCCTCCGGTAAGGGCCCTATCCATTCAGGAATGCACAATTATGTGCCGTAATTTACGATTCCAATGGATTAAATTTCGACGTGGGCTAATTTTGGCAGCATCTCCTTACAGTTCTTCAAGTACAAACCGTAGATACATAATATCCATTATGTACTCGAAGAACATCAGGAAATGTTACCAAAATTTCCACTATCGAAACCTAATCCTTGAACCGCAAACTACAGCACATAACTATGCATTCCCAAACTGTCCAAAAAATGGGATAATTCAAGAATTAATTGAACCGCAATCATGCTTTCACATCCATACACGAAATCCAACTAATCCTCAAACTGGAAACTAAGCTTTTCTTGAAAAAAGTGTACGAAGTTAAATAGTATTAATTTTGTACAACACAAAACAATTTTGTACGTGATGTACAAAAATTTGTGCATACAAATAAATTAAATTACAATAATTACTAAAACTAAATAAAATAGATAAAATTAATAAAGATCAATTACAAATTCAATCCCAAAAAACTCCAACATGACCAAAAAAGGGCATAGCACGCAGGCGAAGGTACACAATAACAAGTATAAGGAATCTGAAGTTAGTTGCTCAAAAATTGGTATTCATATGTGATAAGGGTGGCTATGGAATTGTCTCGAAAATTACAGCCCAATATCAAAGTGAGAACACAGATCTAGTTTATTTTCATAACCAACGAACATATCATGTTTATTCAAGTGAAATGTTCAGCTGACTGTAAATATGGACAAGGAAATGCTCAACTGATAAAACAGAATGGAATTTGGGGTATGCCTATGTGTATCCAGTAGCTAAACATTATCCATGCCAACCTAACCTTCAAACTATAATAAAGCTACAAATACCCTATGTGGATGCAAATTTTCGCTTTCTCCTTCTTTAACAAAATTGCACCTACAAAACAATCAACATCTTTGGTCAAGGCCAAGAGCCTCACGCACCCACGATGAATGGGGGGGGCTTTGGCCGAAGAACCTCTGATGCCAAAGTTAGCATTTAGAGAGAAAAGTGTTTGGAGAGTTTTTTGGGAGTTTTGCAAGAGTGTGTAACCTTCGTTTTTAGAGAAAATGGGGTCATATATATAGCACATGGCCGGTCCCCTTTGGAGAAAAGGTCGCCGGCCCTTCGGAGAAAAGGTCGCCGGCCCTTTGGGGTGTTTTTGGTGTGTAATGGGTGATTTAATTGGTGATTAATGGATTAATTAGGAATTAATCCATTAATTAGCCAATTAATCTCCATTTATATGGAATGTTATGTAGGTTATGAAATAATTACATAAGATGAGGATGGATGAGATAATTTTGAATTGGTTACCTATTTTGGACACTTTTGGCTTGATTGAAGGATGATTGTCCACTGCTCGCGCATAGGAAATCTAGTGTGATTCGAGGGTAAATTTGTCTTTTTCACCAAAAATCCACGTGTTGCCTTGTGATTATTTTTTACTCCACACCCTACTTTCAGCTCAAATGCTAAATCATACATTCATATCCTCCTAAACGAAGGAAAAAATACATTTCAGTTTATTCTAGTTGGCAGTTTCAATGCATGAACATTGCACATAACCCCACTATGA